CTGCTGCACCGCCCCCCTCCACCTCTCCGTCAGCGGATCCGAAGCGCCGCAGCGCCGCATCGGGGCGGGGCGAGGGCTGGTTGTCACGATTCGGCACATCATCTGCCATTGAGGAGGCCATCAAGCGTCTTAGTGAGTCGGCAGCCGTCATGATGGATTGCATCGAGCAGCGATGCGGTAGCCTGATAAAAGCGACACGGGCGAGGGAAAGGTGCATTGGACACTTAGGTGGCATTGTGTATCTTGGGTGTCGTGGCTGTAGGTGTGTATCGTCGTCCAAGGTTGCGGGGTCTGCAAGTCGTGGCCGCTGGGAGGAAGCCCTCCGGGTCAGCCCCAATTTGTGCGTTGATTGCCCGTTCATTCAGTAGGGATGTCAGCCATCCATCCATCGACAGCGACTTCCATTTTATAGTCATCGGAGAGCCGCGGATGAGGTCTGCTAGAACTGTCAGGTGCGCAGGGAGAGTCGGCCGCCGATGCGTCTTCGCGTTGTGAAGGTAATCCGTGTTATCATGTTCCGCGTGCAGATGTTGAGCCGTGGGGTGTGCCGGTGCACCGACCTCGACCTGTCCGTGACGGCCGTCGATGCATCGAGGGCGGCTTGCAATCGATCGGCAGCCGGTCAGGCAGCTCGTCGCTGACCATGTTCTCGCGAGGAGGCGCGAAGGAGTGACGGCCCTGGCGGCCGGTCGAGTGTGGCCTTGGCGGCACCGTGTTGGCACTGACGGGAAGAATTTCGCGTCGCCATGCCGGTGTCTCCGTCGGCACGGGCGATTCGCCGTTTATCGAGCTCTCGTGAAGACGAATGCTGGCCTTGGTGCCGTCTGCATGTGGTTTACTTTCCGCCGAGCCGGTGTGTCTACGGGAAGAGTGAGGATTGCCTTGCTGGTCGTCCATCCCATCAGACGGCCTGACGCCCTCTGAGGTGTCAGTGCGCATGTCGGCGTGGAGCAACTCGGCTGGCTTGGCGCAGGGCTGGCCGGCGGGGCGGCAGTTCCTCGGTGGGCGTATGTGGAGATGATGGCCCTCAGCGGCTCTAAGTTGCCAGCTGGTGACGAGGGGAGGGGGTGGATAGGTGGGATGGGATGGGCGGAGGGGGAGAGGGAGGCGGAGGAGGGAGTAGGGGAGGAGGGAGAGACATGCGTGGTTTGGTGGGGCATTGCGCCCGTTCTGAGGCGAAGGGCCATCTGTACCTGTCACCAAGCGATAGATGTCGACCAGTGAGGCCGGATGTATGTATGGTGGCGGGCTGTGTCGACGGTACAGACCGATTGAGTTTGCTTTCTGCGTCATGGGTGTGTGGGCGGCAAGACCGTTGGCGCGTCATGTGATGAGTGCGTGAAACGATGTCTATGCTGTCACACTCAGTGCCAGCAACGCACGGCTGCATTCACTTATCATGAGTGTGCGATCATAAAAACACGAGGGTCTGCCGCACCATCCGTGTCTGTCTGCCTTGGCGCCACACTCTGTCCTTTGACCGTCTGCCTGGTGTATGGGGCCGATCGAGATGTCTCTGTACAACTCTCTCTCATCGCAACAACACACGGAAGAGCGACAGGCAGACAGACAGATGGTGCGGCAGAGCCCGACACAGGCAGCGCATCCAGCGGCGGCAAAGAGAGAGTGAGCAGGGGAGTCAAAACCACTCACATCTGACCGACAGACAGACAGGCAGACAGGGAAGGAGGGAGGGAGGGAGCATTCGTCCAGACATGCAGGCAGCAGTCTGTCTGTCTGTCTGTTGTTAAGACTATCCTAACACGGCCACCTCTTACTCGTCCACTCACTCATGTGGTCATCTTGGTGTCCTCCTCTCGCGGCCTCTTGGCCTGCTGATCAGCCCCGCCCTCGCACTCCTCACGCTGTTGCTGCTGCTGGCCATCCATCTCTTCTCGCGGCCGCTTCGTACCGCGGCGACCCTGAACAGTGACGCAGCACACGCAGACATAGAGCGGTGACAAGGCCATGTGTGCCACTTGTGGCAAACAATCCGTCATCATCAGGCCATGCATACTGACTATGTGGTGTACCTGGTCTTCGAGTGTGATGATTCTCTCGCGGAGCTGCTTGTTCTCGGCCTCCAAACGCCGCCGGTCGGCCGCCTCCTGTGCCGCAAACAGACACATACAGACAGACAGACAGACATGCTTACAGAGCCCATAGAGGCGACAAACACAGCCGATTTTGGCTGACCTGGGTGGCGCTGTTGATGAGAGCGTTGTATAGCTGCTTGAAGTGGTCGTCCTGTTGTGCGTCGACCGCTTCCTTGAGGGCGTCCTCGAAGGCCTCTTGGACTTCTGGCGGGAGGGTGGGCACGATGGGGAGGACGGCAGGCAGCACACTGAAGCTCTCGCGGATGGCGTCGCCCGTCAAGTTCTCGCCAATGGTATCATATTTAGACTGGGGCACATCCTGGATGGCCGCAGAGAAGAAGAGGCTGAGGGGCAGTCTGTAGTACGATGCGTTTGTGAGGCAGGAAACCAGGTTGAGAGCGATCTCACGATGAATCGACCTGCATATACAACACAACACGACACACAGGGGAGACGGCTTAGTCTCATGTTCGTGCACTTTGCGTGTCTGATTCTTTCTCACATACCTGGCCATCCATGAGTGTCACGCCCGCCCAGTGTCCGTCCCTGGCGCATAGCCTGAGATAGTGGAAGGCCAGGGTGCGCATGGGAAAGAACCGCACCGTCACCTTCATCTTCACCTCCTTCAGCCTGGCGTCCCCCTTGAGTGCCTCAGCCGAGATGTTGGCCTCCTGGACACCCAACGGTTGCTCTGTCCCGAGCAGAATGAACGAGAAGACGTCAACAGAAGCACCTTCCTCGCCCATCTCGATCCTCGTCCCCACGTTGATGACCGGAGGCTCATGAAGCTTGACGGACGAGGGACGACGGGAGTCGCCAGCTGCCGGTTGCGTCGCTGCCGTGCCCTCAGCAGCACCGCAGGGAACCTCCAATGAGAAGTCGGCGCCGAAACACGACACAAATGTCTCCTTTGCCCTTGATCCAAGAGAGTCCGGCATAAGCGTGCCGATACGGACATTCCAGCCGCGAACGTCGCCGACTTTCGCATCAGCATCGCGCGGGGCATCGGCTGGAGAGTCCCAGGGAAAGGGGGGGCCGTGACGCAGCCCGGCCACATCGACGAAGATGTTGCCGCGCTCGATGGATCCCCTCTTGCCGTCGTCGAAGGGGTGTGTCGTATACGACGCAGACGAGGTGAAGATGTCCTGCTCGAAAACGGCACCTGTGGACAAGACAAGAGGATGTCAGACGGTGGTGGACGACTCCATGTCGGTGGGCTTCTCACTATGTGCGTCAGAGAGCCCTGGGCTTCCCGTGGCCTCGGTGATGAAGGTGCTCAGCTCGTGGCAGGGCATATCAATGCGCCCATACGAGAGCTCGTCATCGACGGTGCCCACCAGGCTCACGGCCGCCTTGCTCGCGTCGTCCTCTGCCTCCCCTCTCTCACACCGACGCCACTGCGCCCGGATGAGCTGAGGCGCCTTGAGCAGACAGGGCAGCAGGCCGACGCGAATGTCCTTGTGGCGGTGAATGAAGCGGGCGATGAAGGCGTAGCGGGCGAAGCTGTCCAGCAGGCTGGCTACTGGCCAGCTGCTCATCTCGCAGCCAGCCGCCATGCACCACCTGAACCAAAGCAAAGACCCTTCAGCAGGCAAACAAGAAGCGGTAACCTCCCTTCTCCAGCTTACCCGTCGGTGGATGCGCCAGAGGAGACTCTGTGTGCTGCCCGGGGTGAAGATCTTGTCGGTGTCGAATTGGAGGTATTCGAGTGCGATCATCGCGTCCAGCAGGTTGTCCTTGGTCAGCGAATTCACTATGTCAATCTCGTGTTGGAGCACCACCACACCGACGGCTCGAGTGACCTCCTTGATGCGGACCTCTCGCTGCTGCGACTCCTCAAACGCACCTTCCAGCACCTGTTGGTTGATCCACCAAACATGACAGAAGCAAAAGAAGAAATCAGCCGATGAATCATCTGTCATTCTTTCGTCTGCCTTGTGTGTGTGCTTCCTTCCTCACTTGCTGCAAGTACTTGAACGGCCGAGCAATGCCCTCATGCACTTTCAAAGGCGCGTCTGCTTCACCGTCGTCGGGGAAGCGCACGGTGATGGTCCGCTCTGTGAGGCTGTCCATTGCGATGAATGAGAGTGAAGGGAAATGCAAAGCGAAGCAGTATAGCCGTTCTCCCACTGCTTCCTCCTTTAAATTGCCTCGAGCTCTGGTGCGAGCTTTACGATCGCCAGAGGATGGAGCCGAATGGAGTTGCTGGAGGTGAGGAGGGGTCAGAAATGGGAAGCAAAGAAGCCATGAGGCCATACGTGTGTCGGATCTTCCAACACACACGGCTTCTGTTCATGCCCTGTCAGACACAGCTGCGATGAAAAGAGGTCTCCATGAGCCCGGCTGCGAGAAGAACATCAACAGAAGAAAGCCCTGTCACCGAAAGCAGCACAGGTACACAGCATGAAAACTGCTCACATTCTGCTCAATGTCGAGTTCTGTGTCCATCCCTCAGACGCTGACTGACAGTGATGAGCTGGCTACCCCGGTGGCGGACGTCTCGTTTCTCTTATCGGCGAGTGGCCGACCACCGTCAGCTGCTGTCAGCTTCTGATGATGTTTATGAGTCCATCACTCAGCCTCTATTGGTCGTTATTGCCGGCGGAGCTGGCGCTGACCAAGGGCTTCCTGCTGAAGTGTTTGCTCGTGTGGTCATCCCTTTGCTCACTGTCGACGACGCCGTGAGCCTCCGGGCGGTCGGCAAGGCTTACGGCACTCAGCTGATCGATGAGGGGTTTCTACTGCGTCGCATCAACAGCTGCCTGACCCATCAACAGCTCACAGGCCTCATCGATGTGGAGAGAGACCGCGGCATCGACCCCTCGGCCCCTCCCCTCCCACCATCCATCTCGCGATTTGGGTACCTCGCTCGGTGTGCCTACGTCATCGAGCGGGCGGCTGAGTGGCGCCATATGGCCACATTCATCAGGGTGGCGAGTGTCTACGGTTTGGCTGATGAGCTGCCCCTTGTGCTGTCGGCTGAGGGTGTGGCTGCTCATGTGCCCGACAAGGCGACTTTCCATCGACTGCCCGCTGCCATGGCCGTCTACAAGACACTTGGCCATCAGTTCCGCAGTCCCCCTCATCACAGAATCCCACGGCGTCAGCTCACAGATGGCGGCAAGTGCGAGACTGATGTCTATGTCATCCCCGCCAACATGCGGGGCCGAGTCCTGGCTGGGACTGCTCTCGTCCTCTATTTGCTGCTGTGGGGCTGGCTCGTCGTGACCATCCCGCTGTCTCTCGTTCCTGATATGCGCAGCACCCCACATGGTGTCTGGTTCGTCTGGTTCATCTTGTGCTGCCTCGCCGCCTAAGGGGCTGGAGCTGTGCTCATGACGCTCTTCGGCGCTGTGGCGGGCCTTCACGGATGGCTTCACGCAGTCTGGCTGCATTGGAGGAGGAGGAGAGTGCAGTGGTATGTTCTCGGCTCAAGGCGATTCCGCACCATCGAGCGTGACGAGCTGTTGCTGTTGCGGCTCGTCCCATTCGTTGGGACCAATCCCCTCACTGACCCACCCATCAGCGAAGGGTTCAGTGATAACCGCTTGTATCCCACCTTCAGCGGCTTCATCCTCGACGCGCTGCTACAGCTGGACCATGTTCGTTCCCGCATGAGGGTCGCTCTTGACATTACAGTGCGGCGGTGCTGTCCGTGTTGGGATGCCCCTGATCCCCACCTGGTTATCATCAACTTCGCACAAGGCGTCATGGGGCGAGTACTGCCGGAAGCACTTGGCTACGGTGACGTCTGCGTGATGGTGCTGTCACTGAATGGTGGGTCTGTGGTGGCCGCCATGTCCGTCATCCACCAGCGCATTGTGGTCAGGACGACCGAGGCGGAGGTGGCCGGCTGGGTGACTGACGACGAGCGGTTCCCTATGACCATGGCTCGGGTACGGCAGCTGCTGAGGCGACTCGGGGTCGGAGATGTGTGACATGTCGTGATGAGAATCTATATGTCCAAGCTTTTTGTTTGTCTGACTCCAATGCCGTGAATTCATTGGTGTATCTGTCCACACCGATACTGCGGGCTCGCACTTACCCGTTCGCACGCACACAGCCCCGTCGCGCACACGCATCGACTATTGGCGCGACACAACACGCCCACGACGCAGGCAGGCAGACAGACAGACAAGCAGACAGCTCCATTACGCGACACACAGACACACAGACATACACACAGACAGACAGACGCACAGACAGACAGACGGACGAAAGCAACACCGACTTACGGCAAAGCTGCAGAGTGCGGCATCCACACATTGAGGACACGCACAGCGGGAAAAGACACACTCATTCTCCCTCCCTCCCCCCTTCCCCACTGCACCGCCCGATCAATGAAGACATCCATCAGTCAAACGACTGCTGGCAAGTCGCCGAGATCCACAGGTGGCCCATTCTGTGCTCATGGTGTGTCTCTTGTCATGCTCGCACTCGGCTTCCCACTAGCACCCAGAACTCCAACTCGTCCATGACTCTCATGCCAGGCACATGCTTGAACACCAGAGAGAAAACCGGATTCTGCTCACCCACATGTGCTCAGAGGCCATCATCATGCTCGTCGGTGAGTTCTCCACCAGGCTGTATGTCCCCGGCAGCCAACAGATGCCATAGTTCAGCCTCGTTGAAAAGCCTTGTCTGCGCCACGAGGGCAGACCAGGGAGAGCACAGTGCGATTTTCGCGCACACGAGCAGTAGTGTTGCCGCATAGCCGAAGGCTGCAGACATACACACCAGAGGAAACATGGAGATGGATCGACGGTAACTGCATTCGTCATGCTGTCTGCGTCGACTTACGAGCGTAGAGCAGGACGGCGGCCATCGTAATGACGCCATAGGTACACGCTGCGAACTGCACAGCCATGTTGTGGTACGTCCCATACACAAGCAGCACATTGAGGAAAGCCAGGAGAGGGTCGCCCACTGCAAACAAGGCACCAAACCGACGAGTAAGGAAGGAATGAGAAAGGTGCTCGCCAGCCCACCGAGGCCGCTCATGGCGACGATGCCGGCCAATTTGACGTCCAGCATCGATGCTCCCAGGGCCACCATCCACAACCCAGCCAAAACTGCACGCACCAACACACCAAACAAAACAAACAAGGCGAAGATGCAGCACTATCGCCCAGAGACTGAATCTCTTAGAGAGCAGTGCCCAGTAGAAGCGCATCTTGGCCGGCACGTCAGGGAGACAAAGCCTCACCCGACGCTGCTTGCCCCACACCTCAGACACTACATCCATCACCAGGCAGCTGCCAGGACGCTGTGTCATGGTCTCCTTGACACACACATCATGGACACACGAAGACGGACTGGGGCTGGGATCCTGGTCGCCGGCAGCAACACACACTCGACATGCCGGCGGATGCTGGGAAGGACACACGCAGCCGTTGATGGCGCTGCCTTCGTCCGCTGCTGCTACTGCTGCTACTGCTGCTGTATATGTGGCCAAGTCGAGCGCATGAATTATGACAGATCTCGACGGCATAGCTCTTGCTGCTGCCGCTGGGCGAGTGGCATCGATGTCGTCGAGGGCCGGGGAGGCTGAGGACATGCTGAGATCTCATCAGAAGATGATCAATGACATCTCAGCCGATAATGGCGTTTCTCACAGGCACCCTTCCGTGAGCCAAAGACGCCCCACTGCCCCTTCTTCTTCTTCTCTTGCCGAGCCCTCCAACACTAAGGTGCACAGACGGCAAGTCATTCTGTGGGAAGGACGAACCAGATCTGCGTACCCGCGATGTCAACGATGGCCAATGAGCTGTCCTGACGGCCTGCCGGTCGGCAATTCCATTCGAGGGAAACGCGAGCTCAAAAATAAGACCTCCATATCGACTCCTTCTGTTTGTTTTGTCTGCCTGTTTCACTGAAAGTGTGTGCGATCTCACCGGGAATGCACCTGAGCGATAAAATAGCAAAACGAATTTGCCAAGTTCGAGAAAAGCGGAAGTTCGATCCTCACTCGATCCCGAGAAAGAGGAGATGCTCGGCAGCGCCGATGCTTCAGAAGACTCACTGACGACCATGGGCGACTCCCATGGTGCCACATTGCATCACAACTCGTCGGTTCTTTTGCGAGCCCTTGAAGCAAACGAGAGTCGCGTTCGTCAAGTCGCGTTGATTTGTGGCCAACGAACCGCCCGGAGGAAGGCTGTGTGCCCCAATCGCTTCCTCAGATCTATTAGACCGCCTCTCGGTGTCCCAGAGGGTTGAGCGTCTTGCGCAGCGATGGAAGAGGACGGTCGACAGGTGCGGCGTATGACAGCACCGCTTGCAATGGATGCGCATATCACCAGCCGGGTTGTGGCTGTCTTGTGTGTGTTGGGTGCATGCGTGCAGGTTAAGAGGTATCGCCCTGGGACCGACGCACCGGCGGCGTCTTCATCGGCTGCTGCTGCTGCTGGTTGTGACACCGATGAGGAGCGGCAGCGGCGGGAGGAGAGCGAAAGAGGGACCTTCGTGAGGAATGCACCTGTGAGCCAACCACACGAACTGAGGCCATCCACTGATGGATACCGACATCTCTCGCCGTCCCGTGTGCCGTGTGGTTGTGTGCTGCCATGTCAGAGGCGGCAGCAGGATCAGCAGATGGATGGGGAGGAAGGACATGATGAAGCTACGGAGACCGGGCTACGCCGCCCGCCAGCAGCACCACCTCACCATCAGTGCAGCCGACCAAGACCAGCGGTCCTTTTGGCAGGCGGCAACCATCAACCTCGTCAAGGAATGGGCCACATACCTCAGGCAGCTCACAACCATTACCCTCCGCCACCCCATCGGCGCTGCTCGCTGGTGTTGGGACGTGTTTGTGGCCATGGTGGAGGGCCACGTTGCCGGCCGACGGGCAGCCAACATGGGCGGCGGAACTCTGCACACCCTCACCATCGAAGGGGTTTGGCTGACCGGCACGGAGATGCAGACCCTGTCGAGGACAGACCCGCCCCTCCCAGCTCTTCTCGACCCGCCCCCCACCCTCCACGCGCTCACCACCATTGAGGGCCTGACCCACCACCATTATGGGTTGGCCGACCGACGCTGGGTGATGCCCTCACTCGCCACCGTGCGGCAGGAGGGTTGGGGTTCCGGCAGATTGGGGCAGCTCATCAGCTCGTCCCGCTCCCTGCGGCGTGTGGACGGCAGCTTTGGGGGTGAGGACTGGGCGGGTGTGCTTGAGGGAATCCCTGTGACACCTGCTGAGCAGCAGGGGGGGCCACTCGCACAGCTGGAGAGCATCGGCACCATCGTTGTCGATGGCAATGAGGCGGCGGGCATAGATCGGCTTCGGGTGATCACAAAAGACGCACATGTACAGCGGCGCGTGCAGGTTGGCTCATGATGTCCTTGCTGTATGTGTTTCTTGTTGCGTTCAGGAAGTGCTCGTGTCGCGTGGCTGTCGACGGTCACTCAATCAGCTGCACGTGCGCTTTGGTCGCTTCTACTGTATCGGCCGCCGCACGTTGCCCGTGCTACTGGCTCTCGACCGGCTGGTCGGCGCCTGCTGCCTACCGGACGCCCCACTCACGCTGACCACCACCGAACCCCACACCGAAGACTTCGACCTCGCCATCTTCTACCACACCGAGTTCCCCATCCACCCCTCACCCTCATTCAAGACCACGCTGCAGGAGCTAGCCCGGCAGGCCACATGGGTGAAGTACATCTTCACCCAGGACGGCCTCACCTCACCGACCCGTACGACAACCCCTGCGAATCGGCAATCGAGATGGCCAAGACACTCTCATTCGACGAGGCCACGGATGTGGTCGTCGTGAATGCCGTTGGCTTCCATCCGCCACCCGACACCCCATCGCCCCGTCCCACCATCATCACACACCTCAAGCCGTTCCCGGGAGCCTCACGGTTGTGTGTCGCCGACAACCTGGCTGGTGCAGCTGGCCAGCTGCTCGCCGCCAAGATGCCCAAGCAGATGGGAAGGGCGGAGATCGAAGGGGTGTCGGGTGAGGAGATGGTGGGCGTGTTGACGGCGCTGGGGAGGGAGAGGGAGGTGGGTAGGGTGGAGATGGTGGGGGTCGGGGTGGACCAGTTGGTGGGGGCGGCCGACAGGTTGCCTACGATCAAGACGCTAGAGTTCTACATGACACGTACGTTGAGAGACGTGTTGAGAGAGAGGGAAGTGTGTCCCTCTGTCCGTCCTCATTGCTGCCTTTGTGTGTGTTCATCTTCAGTGCCTGCTGGCGTGGAGGATGCGGGCAGCTTCGTCCGCACCGGCCTCTCGTCGCTGGTCTCGCACATCAGGGGCCTGCAGCGCGTGTATCTGAGGGTCCAGGACACCGACGATCATCAGCATGATTCCATCCGCGCCTCCCTCCCTAACGGCGCCAACGTCGATGACTTCACAATCAGACATTTGCACTGTCGACATTCCACCGCCATGGAGGCAAGTCGCAGTGCCTGACGGTGAGGGACGGGCGCTTGATCAGACGGAGGTGTATCTCATTGTTCTGTATTGTGTGTTGGTGGTTGTCTGTCAGGCTGGTTGTGTCGGTCAATCACTTTAGCAGTCGTACGGGACGGGCAGTGCGACGATTCTTAGCTGACGCCATGCCATTCGTCACGGTGTGCTGCATAGCTGCCTGCCTGAGAGAGTATATCTATGTGTTGACGAGTGGCGCTATGGCCATGAATGTCACGTGTGCATGGCGTCATCACTGAGTCACGAACGTCGCACAACTCACCGACCGCCACACCCACTGTCACTGTCCCCCACACTCAGCCAGCACCGTCAGTGAGAGAGTCTCGCACAGCACACAACGTGAAACCACCCGCCGCACAAGCAGCGTCACTCACACCCTCCCTCCCTCCATCCCTCCCTCTATCTCTCTGCATGGTGCTGCTGCAGGTAGATGTCGGCAATGCGCGCCAGTGATGGCTGGGGCAGCCACAGACCGCTCAACACTCGCCAAGGCCCTACACAGCACAGACAGCACAGACACCAAACCACACAGACAGACACCCGTGCCTCCCTCTGGGCTCTTTTGGCTGACTGACATACGTGGCAGCGACTGATCGGCGGTGTCCTGTTTGTCTGGTCTGCTGGGTGTGGCTTCTTCGTTGCTGCTGTTGTCGGGCTTATCGCTTGTCGGCTGCTGCTGCTGCTGTTGCTGTTGCTGCAGCTGAAGGACGGTGGTTGCCTTGGCGGCCACTCGGTCAGACTCGCCTTCACGATCCTCCCACTTGCCTACACATCGACACACACACACACACACACAAACAGACAGAGAGGCCGCCGTGGATCGACGCCCTCTCTCCCACTTACGCAGCAGCTTCGAGTAGTTCAACAGAGCCTGGGAGTGCACTGTTCGCGCGCGAATGCCCTGGTAATTTACCAGCAGCAGCCACACACAGACGGTCTCCTTCGCTCTCTCTCGCCACGTGATGTGTGTGGTGTGTCGCTGACTGACCGGCGTCATGTCTGTTTGGCGGTGGTGCTGTAGGTAGACATCGAATTTATCGAGGGCCGACGTGAAGAGCCCCTCGGCCACCACGACCTGCTGGAAGTGGCTGTATACCGCAGCCAGACCGCTCAGCAGAGCCGCCATGCACAGACCACCTGCACACAACGATGGACGGATGCCCCTTGTGGTTGCCTCTCCCTCCCTCTCTCCTTCTGTCTCTGTCAGTCACCTTGCTCTAAGTCCGCTTTGCCTTCAGCGCGTTTGAGGCCCTTCTTGAGCAAGCCGATGCCACTCTGCACTCGTCAAACACAGGGCGGGCAATCATTCTCTGCGGGGGGGGTGTCTCTGCGCTCTGTACTTGTGTGTGTGTGTGTGTGTGTGTGTGAGAGAGAGAGAGAGAGAGAGAGAGACTGCGTGGTGACCTTTGTGAGCTGGTCCGGTGGCTCCTCTAAGATGCTTGTGACGGCATCGCGGTGTCGCGTGAAGTACACCTCCACCAGGAGGCTGCCCCAGCCGCCGTACAGCTGACACACGCTGCTGTGCAGCTCTGCCACACACACACACACGCACACCCAGGCACACTTACAAGGGGCCATGTGTGTCTGTGTCTGCCTACCCATTTCGTTCTCTTCTGCGATTATCCGATCCAGTGGCTCTTCTGGCTGACGCACAACAGAAAGACAGGGAGAGAGAGCCAACAGGCAGGGACACAAGCTCCTCGTGGCGCTTGTGCAGCCTCACTTTGTCCATTGCCGCCATGTCATCGAGCTTTTTCTCAAGCACCTCCAGGGAGGTCTCACACGCGGCCGCCTGCTGCAGCAGCTCATCGTCAGACGCCGATAACACACCTGCACACACACACCCATGTGTGTGTGTGTGTGTGTCATGTGGATGGATTGGCGCCTACGCGGTGTGGCGCGGGCAGTGTTGTATTCCATTGCAACTGACGTACAGACATACAGACACACGACTTGCAGCCTCACATTGTGTGGGTGTGTGTCCATTTGTATTTGTCTCACGTTGGAGCAATCGCCTTCTCCACCCATCAGAGGGCACCGAATCTGCGGCCGCTGCCGGCAGCTGCTCAGCAGACGATGCACCATCACCGTCAACAGCCAAACCAACGGCCTACACACACCCACACACTGTGAAAGAAAGCGAGATACTGGTGCCCACCACCCAGTATCCCACCTGCTGCACCAGCCGTATCTCGCGACACAGGTGCCCGCGGCAATACGTTTCCTCGCCGAATGATGCGGCCATCTCGTCGTCAGAGCAGCCGATGCCCGCCAACCCCTTGTGTGCCTCGTCCAAGCGGCCCTCCTCCACCTGCACCAGGGCGGCCATGAGGCCGCTCAGCCGCGCGGCGTCGCTGTGTGCGTCAAGGGCGGCGGCCAGCCGATGGGCCGTGTGGAAGGACTGCACCAGGAGAGAGATGGAGTGTGAGACGACAACGAGAGAGAGGGTGTAAGGTGAGAATGAGAAGGAGGGCTATGGGGTGTGAAGTACGGTTACGTGCCTGCGCAGCCAGGTGCATATTGAGGGCTCTGCAGTGGGCGGTGCCCAGCCTGCAGATACACACAGCATGATGGTAGCCACAATCCCCTCTCCCTCTCCCTCTCTGTGCGTGTGTGTGTGTGTGTGTGTGTCTGTGTCTGTGTCTGTGTCCCCAGCAGGTCTCATACCACTGGTAGATGAGCGGTGCTTCCGGTGTCTGGCTCATGAACTTGGAGCATATCTCAGCCCCTCGCGACCACTCCACCGCGGCCGCCCCGAACCGGCCGTCAGCATACGCCCTCAGCCCAGACACGAACTCAGGAATCTGCACCCATCGCCCACCAACACACACACACACACACACATGAATCCAATGCACACATCTGCGATGCATTGATCTGATCTGATCCACCTGGAAGAGCACTGCGGACGGTCCCTGCTGCAAGGCAGACGCTGTGCTGAGGTGCCGCAGCCCTCTCTCTAGCCTCACGCACACACACGGCTTCATGAGTGAAAGCCAACTGTGCGGCAAAAGGGAGTGATGAATTGATCGTAGCGCCATGAAGCTGCCTGCTGATATAGACGCCGGCGGGATCAACAGCGAAATCAAAGGAGATCTGCTGCGAGCTCGGCGGCGAGGCGTTCAGGCGGCATTTCGCATACGCCGAGGACATGTTGCTCTACCTTGCAGGTGCACTGTGCTCACGTGCGAGATCTGGCAAACCGCTCCGGAATGGCACTCTGTGGTGATGGTGATGGCCATGACTGACTGACGGCTGCTATGTTTCTGTGTAATGGAGACGGCCCGGCTGTTTGCGCGCGACGTGCTGCTGCTGCATCACATCCTCTTCGACTCCAACCCATGGCACCGCTCCGTCAGACACCTCCGCTCCCGCAACCCTCTCATGCCAATGCTGCACAGCGTGATGCCGCCCCCTTGGGACGAGGAGCTCGAGAGGAAAGACCTGGACATCTACAGGCACCTGACGCGAGTGGTGGAGAGGCAGTTCGGGTTTATTCTGTGCGAGATCCTGGGGCTGGAGGCGGGGGCGTTTGGGAAAGGGCGGTTCGAGCGGCCGGCGGCGCTGCGGGTGGGGAAGTCGGTGATTCCTGGAGGGGGCTTGGGTGTGTTTGCGGCTGAGGACATCAGGAGGGGCGCCTTCGTGACCTTCTACCCTGGGTGAGTGAGTGCAGTGCGTGAGTCGATGCATCCGATGATTGGAAGGGAGGGATGGCTGGAGGAATGGGTGTGTGGCTGTGCTGTACTGCCTTTTGTCTGTGTGTCTGTGTGCCTTTGTGCCAGGTTCATCTTCACCAACCCGGATCTGCGCGTGATACCTGACAGCGACTACGTCGTCGTCAACGCCAACAGGTCAGTACGGTAGGCAGGCCTGTTGTGTGCCCACGGACGGTCCCTGTGCTGCCTGCGTGTTGTGTTGGGTAGTGCAAACAACGTGGTGATGGATGGCTACGGCTGGCAGGCCGAGGACATCCAGGCATTCCCTGCTGGCAACCTGCCGCCAGCTTATGGAGGTGGCGGCAGCGATGAGATGGTCTTCCACGAGCGGTATGAGAAGGGCAAGAGCAAGGGCAAGGGCAGCAAAGGCGGTGGTGGTGGACAGCAGAGGGACGTCAGGATCGTGCACAAGAACCGGATAGGCATTGGTGAGTGAGTCAGCAAGAAGAGAGCAGACACATCCACACCCACACACGCAGAGGAGGACATGTATGTGTTGATGCAATGCAGGTCAGATCGTGAACCACGCGCCGTCCCTCGAGCACCTCAACCTGGCCCCCTTCCCCTTTCGCTTCCCATACCTCACCGACTACACCGACGTCAATCAACGCGCAATTGCCGCCGCACAACAACGGCAGCAGCAACGACAGGAGACGACAGTCTCAGACGTCCCTCAGGTGCTGAGCAGCGGCTTCTCGTCGGCCCTGTGTGTGGCTCTGCAGCAGCTGACCCCTCACTCTGTCATCCGCCCGGTCGACACAAACCTGGAGAAGCTTATCGACAGGCAGCATGAGTCACGCCTCAGCAACGCGCTCATGAGGCGCATCAGACGGTCGGTGCGCAGCCAAATGGGGGGAGGGTACTGGAAGAAGGTCTCTCTCTTTCTCTCTCTGTGTGTGTGTGTGTGTAGGTTCGTGCAGTATGGCGACTATGTTGACCGCCACCGGCTCAGGGCAGCAAGAGAAGCGGCATTAGCACTGTCATCCGCCACCGGGGAGAAAGAACTTGAAGAACCTGAAGCCACGACGGTCGACCCCACACAGCCCCCGCCACCCCTCACACGCGCCATCGCGCGAGACAGGGAGTCCCCCTGGCCGTTCGACGACACGCCTCCGCCCTTTCCCTTCGATGGTCTTGGCTATGTGGCGTTGCGGGACATTCCTGCCGGCGAGGAATTGTTCTGGAACTATCGGTTTGCGGGCGTGGGGACGTCTCTGGTGCAGCAGGCCATCCTGAGGACGCCGGTGCTGCACAGGTGGTGGTACCCCCATTGGTACCACTTTATCGACGAGAGGGAGTTCTTTCTGAGGCATGTGAAGGGGGGTGACAGCAGCAGCAGCAGCAGCAGCGCGAGCGAATGAGTTTGTCCATGGGCGGGTGTGTGCGTGTGTGTGCGCACCGAGACATCAGTCAGTGATAGGTACCATACATGTCATGACATGTGTGGATTCAATCAGTCAGCATGGGTAGGTGGGGCAAAACGGTCCGCCGGCGGTCTTAACAAATACCTCATCCACCCTCCCCTCCATGCCATGCAACCACACCGCACCAGACAAGCCATGCAGCAGCCAAGTCACGCCAGAAAAAAAAGAGATGAGAAACTTCGCCACCCCCCCTCCCCACCCCATCCCCGAACAAAGGCGTAACACAGTCAGTCAGCCATTCAATAAGGTGAGGCCCTCACACCCCTCCCCCCAGCTGCCGGCCTTGCGGGGCCATAGCCCCCAGGAGCACCACCAACACCACCAGCAGCAGCGGCACCCAGCTGCTGTGTGGCCGCTATGGGTGCCATCGGTGCCGCCCCGTATGCAGCGGGCATCGTGGGGGCGCTTAGCACGGTGGGAGCTACCATACCTGCCACCACGACACACACACATACACATACACATACACACACGCGCGCAGAGAACGGAAGACTTTCTGTCTCAGCTGGTCGTGCGTGTTTTGGGGGTACCGTACCCGTGGGGCCGCCCACCGGGGGCGCCATCGGCATTGGCGGAGCCATCGAACCTGTCACAGCACACAGACGCGTCGTCAATCAATCAATCCAGTCAGTCCGTCGTGGCAGGCAGTTTTCTCGTCTTCTCTCTCTCTCTCTCTCTCTCTCATCTCACCGGCATAGCCGGCATACGCAACGTTGGGCGGGTATGCAGCCCCAGCCACAGCAGCAGGAGGGAAGCCCGGCCCGTATGCCGGCGCGGGGAAGCCCCCATAGGCCGCGTAGCCGTACCCTCCTCCCATCCCCATGCCCATCCCGTACCCGCCCCCATAGCCGTCGTAGCTGTAGGCGTCATACAGAGGGCCACCTGACACACACAGCGAAACCAAGTTGCGGACGTGATACGCTGTGACTGAGTGTGTTGACTGACCGCGAGGGCGAGGGGCGGCCGAGTATGGTCCACCGCCCCGGAACTGCGGCTCGTACCAATCTGACGCACCACAAGACGGAGACAGAGACAGACACACGGATGGGTGGGTGTTGGTGTGTGGGTGGTGGTGCCCCCCCTACCTCTTTTGAATCGGTCGTCGTCAAAGGGTCGTCTGCCTCTGGGGCCGGGGGCGTCGCGCGGCACCGCATGCTTGGCCTCACATTGCTGATATATGACACACACAGGCAGGCAGATCCAGACAGACAGACAGACAGAGAGACAGAGAGACAAAGAGTGAGTGAGTTGGTGCCTCGTCCGTGAATGTGCAAAGACGGTATGGATCCATCATTCATGTCACTCATGATTCAAGCACGCCCGCCCCGCTTAGCCATCCATCCATTATTCTGCCGTCGTCTGAGCTCCTTTCTCCATCTCTTCTCGCCTCGTCTCGTCTCGCCTCGCCTCGCCTCGTCGCTGGATCGTTTCTCGCTCTATGGCTCTGCTCGCTGGCTCCCCTCGCTGCCTGCCGTGTGGCTATCTCGCCAGAATAATAGCTCGCCTTTCCTCCTTCCTCAGCCCCATCTCACCCACCCATTCACCTTAACCGTGCCCCCCTCGCCACTTGCTGATAGGGCTGCTTCTGCTGTTGCCTGCTGCTGCTGCTGCTGCTGCTGCTGACGTGATGATCATAACAACGAGACGATCTGCCGCTGGCTGCTGGCTCGCTCCCTTACTCCTTTCTCCTTTCTCCTTACTCCTTACTCCTTGGCTGTCGTCGTGTTGGCTCTCTCTCTTCTCTGTGACTTGCCTGAACTGAGCTCTTACGATACTTATAGATAGCACGCCCCTCACGACACATCACAGCACGGCACGGCACAGCACGTCAGACCATGTAGCAGGGAGAGAGAGCAGGGAGAGAGAGAGAGAGACTGACCGCTCGGCCCTTGATGGTGTGTGAGCCACACGCGGCCTCCGCGTGGTCAGGGTTCTCAAAGACAATGAAACCAAAACCTTCATGTCGACCACACCACGCCAGACCATATCATATCATAGCATCACACGCACCCCCGCCATACAGACACGCAGGCAGGCAGACACACAACCAACACACGACACACATGGGTGTGTCCTTCCTTGTCTGTCTGACTGACTGACAGTCTCTCTCTCTGTGAGAGGAGAGAGGTGTGCATACCTCTGGGCCGGTGGTTGGTCTTGTCATACGCCAGGACAGCGTCCTTCACCTTGCCGTAACGACGCTCGAAATAGCCCCGAAACTCCTCTGCACATACACACACATGACATCACACACAGACACTCTCTCCCTCTCTCTCTGTCCTGTGCGTGTGTGGATTGGATTGGACTGCCCACCTTCCTGCAGGTCTTCGGGCAGTCCGCCAACGAAGAGCTTGCATGGGTTGTTGACGCTATCGTGCGGAGCGGCCTGGCGGGCCTCATCACGGGGCAACGCGCGGCGGCACTCGACCTTCATATCATCCACACCACACCACACACCATAGAAAGGACAAGTCTCTCTCACACACGTCTGGTTGTCGTACCAGGACGCCGTCAATCTTGTGTCTGTCGATCATGGCATGCTCGACCGCCTTGGTGTCGACAAAGGTGACGAAGCCGAACCCCCGACTGCGGCCGACGCGCCGGTCCATCACCACCGCGCAGTCAGCTATCTCGCCGTACTTGGAGAAATGCTCACGCAAACCTGGCAGACACACCCGAACGGAACGTGGCGTGGCACAGGCACCAGGCACAGGCAGGCAGGTCAGTGGTCTGTCTGTCTGGTGGGTGTCCTGAATGTCAGCATCCGCATACAGCTCACCTTCTGATGAGGTTTCCTGCCCGAGCCCGCCTATAAACATCTTGGAGGGGTTCTTGTTCAGGTCATCCATCACCATTTTGCCTACGTACGGCCCTCCGCAGTTTTCCTTCCGCAAAGGCGAGCTTTCATCTGCCAAGCTCGCAGAAAAAAGCGAAAGGGAAAGGAAGAAGCGAATCAATCACGAGCACAGACAAGGCATTTTCGAGGGATTCAAGACAAAAAAAGAGAATCAAACGAGCACCGAAGTCAGCGGGCCCCCAGGCAAACGCGCATTTCTCAGGCATTTCGGAAGGGCCGACAAGCGATGTCTGCTGCGGCATCACGAGCACGGAAGGTGGGAGCGAAGTCTTGCAAGAAGAGAAACCAGAAAGGAAAAGAACTGCACCGCGATTGACTGTCTGTCTGTCTGACTGTCTCCCTCCCTCCCTCCCCATCGTCTGTCTGTCTGCTGCAGGCGCCTGTGTCTGGCGCTGGCGCTGGCGTGACGTCGACACGCGTGCCGTATGACGAGCTCGTACGGAAGTACCGGGACGCACTGGTAAGGCCTGACAGACAACCAACATAATGCGGCTTGCACTGATGGATTGGCTCCGCCCTGTTTGTTCTGTTGGTTCATCAGCAAGAGAATCACCGGCTCAAGACTCAGTTGCGCGAGGCCAATGGGCGAAACGAAAGTCTGGTACGGAAGGAGAGCGCATGCATTCTAGCACACACACGTGCTGACGGCTGTGGTTTGTTGCGGTGGTTGGTGCAGGTGAGGCTGGTCGAGAGCCTCAGCAAGAGATGGGAGGCCAAGTGCGCCAAAGTGACAGCCAGAAACACACACGCGTAAGCCAACACACACACGCACACACACACACACACACATGACTGGCCCCATGCCTGGCTGCTCACATGTGCCTGTCCATCCATCCATCCATCAGTGAGCGCGAGCTCGCCCGTGTGCGAGAGATCTACATGGACCACGCCGCCCAGACGCACAGCTGCAAGAGGACCACCTCATCCAAGTCACAATCGTCACAACAACGGCAGCAGCAGCAGCAACAGCAGCATCTTCTGGGAGCCCCCGGTCCACCCCCGCCCCGCCAGGCCTGGCTCCCGCCATCCACTGGCAACGGCCAAACGCCCACGCCCACATCCCAGCCCCCCGCACCCCCTCCCAAGATGACGATGGGCGAAAGGCTGAGGCTCAAAAGGGAAGAAGAGGAGAAGGAGCGACAGGCGAAAGATAGGGATGCTCAGCAGGCGAAGGCGAGCACCAGCGGCGATGCTCCACAGCAGCAGCAGCAGCAGCAGCAGAAGCCCATGACGATGGCCGAGAAGCTGCGGGCGGCCAGGCAGAAAGACGAAGAGAAAGAAATGGAGAGGAAGAGGGCTCAGGAGGCGGCGACGCAGCCCCCAGCTTCTGCTGCTGCTGCTGCACCTGCTGCTGCACCTGCTGCCGTTGATGGTGAGAGTGGGGATGGCAAACCGGCGGTGTTGCCGCCTCCCCGGCTGACCGAGAAGGAGCGACGCATCCTTGAGGATGACAGCGACAGCGAACTCGACAGCGATGAGGATGACAATGACAATGACGAGCGCGGCCCCCCAGCCACACAGTGAGTCACACAAAAGAGAGAGAGAGAGAGTGGCGAGCAGGAATCCCTCTCTCTCTCTCTGTGTGTGTGTGTGTGTTGTAGGTCTGCCCCAGCCCCGGTCATGGCTAAAGCGTCGTCTGCCCCAGTGCTGTCCAAGGCCGCCTCTGGCCACCCGTCCCGGCCGCGCACGCCCCCAGCTGTGATGCCTAAGCTGCAGATGAACACCGCTGCCCTGCAGTCCATCTGGCTGAGTGGCGAGAAGCAGGCGGCCGAATACCCGATGGACTGATGAACTGATGGAAGGGTGGAGGGCGCCACAGTGTGGCGCGTGGTGCGCTTGCTGCAGTGAATGGAATGGAGCAGTGAACGCGCTGGATGGTTTGGATCCACCAAGAGAGACCTTGGCAGGGAGGAAGGAGTTCATCCGTTGAGGGCTGTGGGTGTGCCTGTGCGTGCGTGTCCAAGTACTTACCTTACGTGTGTGTGCCCACGCCACGTGGGTTGACGGGCGGGTAAGTGTGCATTCGGGCGTGAAGATGGTTGGTGCATCATGCTTGTGACGTCACATGACTGACATCAATGCATTGCCTCGAAAGAATCGAACTGGATGGAACGCGTTGTGCAATTGAGATCAAAACGCTTTGATCGATCGGACTGGCAAGTCAGTCAGTCGGCTATTCACAAGTGTAGTGTCCCCCCACCCCACCTAACTAACACACCCATCTCGTCCGTCCCTACGCCAGGCCCAACCCACCAGTCAGTCCATCCCTCCCTCACTATCTACGAGTCGCTGAGCAGCCGCTTCCCCCGTCGGTTGGTGCGGCGGACGGGGGGCGAGTCGTCCTCCTCCTCCTCCTCCTCTGCCTCTTCCTCGTCTCCCTCGCCGTCCCCCTCCCCACCCCCACCCCCACCACCATTGCCCATGCCCATGGCCATGTTCTCGTCATTGTCGTGGTCGTCTTGCTGCTGCTGCTGCTGCTCGTTGTCTCCATCTCGATGCATCCCCCCGCCCCGCTCCGGCTCGTGCCCGTTCTCTTGTGCGTGGCGGTAGTGGTGGTTGTCTTCGCCCGCCGCATTCCCATCATCGTCCTCTTCCTCTTGTTGTTCTTGCTCATCCTCTTCTTCTCGTTCGTCGGTCTCGTCACGCTTGCGCTTGCCCCCTGAGCTGCCCGCACGACGGTCTGTGCCGTCGCCGTCGCCGTTGCCATCCGCCATCTCCTCATTCTCAAAAGCGTCGTCGGGATCGCCGTGTGGTGTCTGTGGGTGTGGGTGTGGGTGAGGCTGTGGTGGGCCGGCAAGAGGCAGCTGCAGCAGCATCTGCTGTGTCTGCTGCGTCTGCTGTGTGGGCGTGGCCGCCGCACCATTCTGCTGCGGCTGCTGCTGCTGCTGTGTGTGGTGGGCATGGTCCTCTGCGGGCTCTTGTTTGATGATGCTCATGTTGACGGGGTGGGGATGGGGGGGCGAGGCAGCGAAGATGGGCGGGGGAGGTGGGGGGCCGCCAGCCGCACCCACAGCAGCCAGATTTTGCTGCTGCTGCTGCTGCTGGTCGTCATCGTCATCGTCATCGAGATCGTCATCGAATCTCCTGGGCTTCCTCTCTTGCAGGGGGTTGTAGGGCGTGAAGGTGATCTACAGGCACATGACACACACACACACACACACTCCCTCTCTGCGTGCGGGCGTGTGTGGGGGGGGAGGGAGTGGCGGACTGAAGGACGGATCGGTTACGTACGGGTGGCATGTCTATGTCGTCGTCTACAGTGGCGCCCAGCTCGCGCGCATCGACAGTGAGGGCGTGGGAGCACCCCTGCCGCTTGCAGATACCCACCTGATCCACCCACGCACACACGCACAGAGAGAGAGAGAGAGAGAGCGCTGCACGTGTGTGTTTGGTGTGTGTGGTGGGAGGGTGTTGTGGCTTGGCTGGCTGGCTGACTGACGGACTGACCATTCTATCTACTTTTTCGAAGCAGTTGTTGCGCAAACTGATGACCAGAAACTGAGCCGAACGCGCCTGCATCTGCACACACACCCACACCCACACCACATGTGTCTGCAATTCTTCTTTGCTTGCCTTGACGTATTCGGCGATGCGCGTGACGTTGGACTCGTCGAGGGCGGCGTCGATCTCGTCCATGAAGTAGATGGGGGTCGGCTTGTAGTGGTGCAGCGCAAAGACAAGCGCCAGGGAGCTGAGCGTCTTCTCGCCACCTACACACACACACACACACATGCAGCGCAGCCATTGCGTGTGGTCTGGTGTACCGGAGAGGTGCTGTATCGGCTTCCACGGCTTCTCGTGCGGCCGTATGCTGAGGTTGACGCCCTTCTCGAAGGGGTCATTCGGCACCACTGGCTCTAAGCGGGCGTCCCCGCCTAATGTGATCATCTACACACACACACACACACACGGATGGCCGCATAAACAGAGAGAGAGAGGCAAAGATCTTTTCATGTGTGTGGGATGGTGGGTGAGCTTGCCTGGTACATCTCGGTGAGTTTCTTTGCGATGACGTCGAACCCTGCCTCAAAGGTGGTCCGCCGCTTGCACTCAAACTCACGCAGCATGCCCATGGCATGGCTGCACGCGTCGCTCACCTGACACCCCCACACCCCCCCACACAAGACACAGAAATATCACCATGTATGTCTGTGTTGTGTGTGAAAGAGGTGCAGTCAGCCCTCCGCGCCTGCCTGTTGGTGCTCGCGAGTGCGTTTGTCGAGCAGCCGCAGCTTGGTGTTGTACTTGTCGATGACGCTCAGCTCGGGGTGGGGCCCCAGGCGCCCGGCCATCACCTCGCGGATCTCGTCCTGCAGGTCCTCCTACACAGACGTATGGGTGTACCCACACAGACACAGCGAGAGGGAGAGGGAGAGGGACAGAGCGATGTTTCCTGGACGATTGCAATTGCGAGGCTTGTTGAACTTGCCTCGGTGATCTGGTCCAGCTCGTCGGCCGTGCGCATGCGGAACGGACAATCCTGCACCCACACAAAGAACACTCGGCGTCCATCTGTGTGTGTGCTCGTCTGTCTGTCTGTCTGCCTGTCTGGCTGCGTACCGGACGGTCGTCCCTCCCACGGCCGCCACGATCAGCATCGTTGCCCTTCTTCCTTCTCGCCTTGTCCGCCGCCTTCTTCTTCATCTTGCGGCGCTGTGTCTGCTGCTGCCGCTGCTGCCGGTCGTCCTCCCCCTCCCCCTCACCGCCCTCATCGTCGATGTCCATCATGTCCAGCTCCCCCTCCTCTGCTGCGCCTAAACCGTCTTCGTGAGGCTGGTCGTCGGCCTCATGGTCGTCACGGTCGTCATGCTCCCGCACGACGGGCAGCTCGTAGTACTGCTTCTTGAAGCGGAGGATCTCCTTCTCGTGGGCGCGCACCTGAACCACACGCACACACACAGACAGAGGGAGGGAGGGAGAGGGGGAGAGAGGGAGAGCTTTGTGTGTGTCTGGAGGGAGGGGGAGGAGGGAGAGAGAGAGGGGAGGTGGGACCTTGTGTGTGACGGCTGCGAGTTTGGTCTCTTGGTCGTGTTTGCGCTGGTCGATTTTGATCTTGGCCAGCTCGAGGGCCTTCAGCTGCTCAGCCGCTCTCTTCTGCTCAGACTGGTGCGAAGACTTCTCCTAAACACACACACACACACACACAGGGGGAGAGAGGGAGAGGGATGCAGCATTGTGTGTGTGTCTGTGTGTGCTTGGCCAAGGGTGGATGGTATGGCACCGCTGCAGAGACGGACCTCTTGTTTGTCTGTGAGGGCTTTCTTGGCGGCTTCGACCTTCTCAAATTGCTGCACACACACACAGACACAGACGCGCAACCACATCTCTCTCTCCGTGTGTGTGTGTTGTGGAGGCAGGGCACCCACCGGCATCGCGGCATCTTCCAGCTGCTGCTTCGCGGCCTCCTTCTCAGCCAGCAATGTCTGCACCCACCCACACACACACGGAGACCGCCTGCGATCCCCCCCGCCCCCCATGCAGCCACATGTGCTGTGCTGTGACTCGCCTGTGAGTTCTCGGCCTCCTTGGCGAGTTTGTCGGCCTTCTGCTGGGCCTCCTCTGCGCGCGTGCGGTGCCTGGCGGCCTCGAGACGGAGCCGACTGACGTCGTTCTTGAGCTCGCTGAGTGCTGCAGGCACACAGACAGACACACACACGGATGGATGGATGGATGGTCACGCAGAGATTTGTCTTCGGGGCTCTCTCTCCCTCCCTCCCAGTGTGTGTGTGTGTGTGTGTGAGGGGGTGAGGGATGGAGTGTGCGTACCCTTCTCGGCTTTCTGGAGCTTCTCTTTCTGTTTCTTGACCTCGGGGGGCTCGGCGTTGCTGATTTTGGCCGTCAACCTACACACACACACACATGGAGGGATGGTGATGGTGGTGGTGGTGGGGCGTTGGGGGGGCTCGCTAAGTCACTCACTCTTGTATCTGCTTGTTGATAGCGTCCAGCGGGGCCTTGCGCCTCTCCACCTCCGCCGATGATGTGTCCATCTGACAGACACCCGCCCCACCCACACATGAATGAGAGAAGGGCAAGGGCAAAGGAGGCGGCGAGGGAAAGGGAGAGGGGGGCCACCTGACTGACCTTTTGTTTGAGTCGCTCGAGGTCTTTCTTCTCCTTGTCGGTGAGCTTGGGCACCTTCAGGCTCGCCAGCTGCTGCTCGGCTTCCTTCACCTGCACACACCACATAACACCACATAATCTGCCTATGCCTATGTT